ATAACTTTCATTTTACTCGTCCAAATTGAATATTTTTTATCCTAAATTGAAATTTAGAACGAGAACTTTCACCTTATTTTTGAATCACCTCACTCGGAGTTTTATAGCTCGAAATATTGACGTTTCTAAAATTTTGCGCAACCCTGAAACTTTCATCACTTTCTAATCCATCTTCTCACGAATTTCCTAAATTTCTCATAAGGTTTTAAATCCTAAAGAGCCTAAGTCAACCCAGCTTACCCCGTTAACCCAATTGTGAGCTCGTCGCATGTTACTGCCTCCACTGCAAGCTTCCCACCCACTATACTTCCTTCACTGGCGAGCCACCCAGCCTACACCCTCCCACCACACATCAAGCCACCCCAAGACCACCATGAACCCAAGAGAGAATCACCACGACCATCCTCGTCGCGATTTGATTACGAGTCTAATCAATTGCGAGATGTGTCTTTGTCTCACTGATAATTATTAAATATTCATGTTTTTATGTTTAATTATGACATTTATCTCATGTGGTGCTAATTTCTCTGGATTGGGTGTAATTGTTTAATTCTTCAATAACTATTTAACTCTTTTGTAACACTCTCTCTTTATATATATATATATATATATATATATATATATATATATATATATATATATATATATATATATATATATATTTTTTTTTTTTTTTATTATTATTTTTTCTTTCTCTAGTATTGATTTAGTTCTATTTTAAGGTTTAGATTTAGAGAAATCTAACTTCATGATTATAGGAATATATTTACATTGGAAAGTGATTTTTGTGCCCTGATATGATTCAAATCAATCTGAAACCTTAACTGCGAGGAACAAAATTTGAGATTCCTAATACATGAAGTTGCGCCTAATGCAAATATGAAATAAATGTTTATTACTTCAACTGATAATGAAATTCATACATACATAGATAATAGGAATTAATTGATTGTTTAGGATTCCTAGAACTCCATTATTAAGAATTAATATGAAATGAATGTTTATTACTTCAACTGAAAATGAAATTCATGCATTCATAGATAATAGGTTGTAGATCCAGGGAAATCCAATTCAACAATTGACCTCATTGCATTTTTTGTATTAATCATTTCTACCTCAATCATTTCAATCATATAACCAAGTTATTGTTTGATTTACTGAAAACTGGAAATAATTGATATCTGCAAAGTCCCTGAAAACACGACAACCCTTTTTATAGTTGTACTAACACTTGCTGTGAGAAAAAACTAACACTCATCGATCTCCACACCTCCAGCTCTGATTTCCCTTCCACTTGTCTCACCCATCGTCTCCGACTATCCTCAGTACGCCACCAAACCTCCCCTCTAACCCATGAGCTCAATCGTTATCTCAACCCTCACTGAAACCCCAAATTGCCTTACCAGTCCGAACTGTCGCAACAACCACCAAGCCTTTGCGTCACGCCCCATCTCCTTATGCTCTCACCCCACAGACCCATTATGTATTTTTCTTATATTCATCCCTCTTTCTTTGGTTTAATTTCATTTTTTGTCTAAATTAGTTTGCTTGGAATATGTTATTTTTACTTGGATTGGTTCTACAATTTTTAATTCAACTATGTTTGTTATAATGGCTTGGTTTGTTTTATCCGATTCTATGTCCATTTGCTATCTATTGGGATCATTTTGGTTTGATTTCGGTGTTGTGTTTTGGCTGACTGAATTTGTTGGATTTAGTATAGTTGGTGCTTTGATTGCTATTTCGTTTTATTATGATGTCTTAGTTTGATTTAGGTGGTTTGTTGTCTGTTGTTAGTCTAGTTATGCACTAAAGTCGTTTGTTAATTTTGGTTTAGGGTATAGGGTTTAGGGTTTAGGGTTTGTTAATTTTGGTCTGAGATTCTTTTTTTATTATGCATTCTAATATGTTATTGTATTTCTTTTGGACTTTCCTGATCATATCGGATTGTGTTATTTGTGCTATTTCTTTTTCTGTGTTGGTGTTGTAAAAGAAACTAGAGGTGGGGTTTATGATGTTGGATGTAGTATCTGTATAGTGAGCAAGTATTGAAAGTGAAAGAAGGAAAGTTGTGGATGTCATGCCTAAGATTGAAACGATTTACTACCATTGAAGAGGGTGATGGGATCCTTGGATTTTACTTTTGTGGCAACAATGATATATTATCTAGTTGTGGTGTGTTATTTTTATTTAGTTATTATGCAGGAAAATAAATCCAAACCTTGAAGTCAACATTCATTAAATGTGTTATAGCAATGTTAAACATGTTGTTTTGTTTGTTTTAATATAATATTATCAATAAAGACATTAAGTTATTCTTTCATTTATAGAAACCTTAAACATGTTTATAAAGGAAAACAACAATTTATACATAAATGTGTCCCATAATAGCCTATATGTTGTAGGATTTCCTGCATGAGCATAGCATAGATGTTGAACTGCACACTATCTCCATAAACATACATGAGAACTAGTACAAGGGAAGCAAATTATACCCATCCCATGTCATAAAAATGTGGCCTCTTATAGTGGAATGTAGCTGGAAGTAATAATGCAGTTGGAAATTATATTTGGGTAGTCAAGATTCAATTAATAATATATTAAGTTTAAAACTATTAAATTATCTTTAATCTTCTATAGTGAAGTGTAGTTGGATGTTATTGAAATTTACGATTGCATTATTTCATCAAAATGGAATGCTTCGATTAGGTTTTATGACTTAAAAACTAAATTTTTGTTCTGCTTGACTTTGGGAGCAATATAGTACTAACCTGTTTTCTTCTGTTTTACATGTGAAACCTACTTTTATCAAAATCTAACTGTTTGATTGGACTTTAAAATATTAATGATAAACCTGTTTTGCTCCCTTTTGCATCTGAAACTTTGATCAAAATCCAACAGTTTGCTTAATTATTTTCCTCCAATCTAACAACAGAGTAGTAAAATTATTGTGTGACAATCATCCATCAAATAGGCTTTGTATGAAGTTGTTAATAATAGTAACTTGATGGCCTAATTGTTGTTGTTTCTGAATAGCAAAGGGAGAACATTTTGATATAAGGTTTTAACCCCTTGGATATGCTTTTATTACCAAGAATTACAGAGGGAAAACATTGTATGACATGCAGTGACAATTCAAATTATTCATTTGCATAAAAACGTGCATATATATGAAATGATAAAGATGAAATACTTGACTTTGAGAAGGGAACAGGTGAGGTGAAATAAATTTTCTACTAGAGCTGTAACACATAATTATCCTAAGGGATTTGGCCATATATGGCAGACATGCATCTAATTAATCAGAATAAACATACACAAAAGGACACAATATAAGTGCATTTCTAAACATAGTCCTAAATTGCATATCTCAATTTTCCTCAACCAGAGCTTCATCTTTGAGAGATTAATATAGATTGTCGCTTACTTTGTTTTTGGCATATTATGTATTTATGCTTCATGTTATACAATGAATAGTTAAATGCTTGATTAACCCTCTATTTTCCTATATAAAGATAAATATATGTTCATAAGAGATGATAGTTTAAAGCATCAACATGAAACATCCAACTTTTTATATGACTTACAAGAGATGAACCAGCTCATACAATGACTTTCTGCAAGTGAAGAAGAGATTTGTCGCACAAAAGAGAACAATGAAAAATTGAGTCACAAGTTCCAATTTGTTTTAGGGCCAGTAATGTGATTCCTACCTCCTAATTCACAAACAATTTTTCAGCAACAATAACAACAAACTCAATAAGAATACTCACAATAATAACAATATGATGTTGAACCGTAACACGACATCTTATCCCAGTACGACAAACCCCAATAACAACATTATCCAGAATATGTTGATTATTAGATAGTAGTAGTTTCATTTGGAATAATTGTTATAGTTTAGTACATTTTACTTATTTGACACACTTTAATGTGTTCTACATATAGTATCATGTATTTCTATTTAATTGGATTATATACAATATCTATATTTTATTTAGTGTTTGAGCTATAGTTGAAACGAAGGGACAAACACATTGTTTAATTTAAATGAGATTAAAATTTTTTATAATGATCATCCCATATAAGATCCTTCTTAAAATAAGTATTTTATATGATGATGTTATGTCTATTTAGAAATTTGTATTGAGTCAATTAAGTGAGAATAAGATTATAAATATGATTATTTAATGTTTATGTTATGTCACAAAGTGTAAGTCTGAGTTTCATATTAAGTAAGAATGAGGAAGTTGAACAACATATAAAGAAGAAAGAATCAATATCTTAAGGTTTTGTGTTGAAGATGATATTAATTCTTTATAATATGGTTGAGAGTTTGTAAGTTGTTTTTGTACCAAAATATACACAGACAATGAGGATACATTATGATAAGCGATAATATAATAATAAGAGATATATCAGTATAAAAGAATTCACACTGTGAATTATTCATATCTTAGTATCAATATGAAGAAATTCTAACTACCCAATATTTTATACATGTTAGATTCATCCCAAACATATTTTTCTTTTTTATTTTATGTTTATTTATTTTTATAATTTTTTTTATGACTTTTACTATTAAGATTTATAGAAGAAATCAATGGGAGGTGAATTATCATTTAAAATGACTTATTAATAAAATTAATGTGTATTATGTGACGGCCTCTTTTTTTTTTCAATTGATAAAATGAATTAACAAATTTTTTTATCTAAATTATTAAAATCAAAATTAAAATTGATTTATAACTAAAAATGATTAGTTAGATAAATATTAATGTTAGTTCTAACAAAAATCTAAATTATTTACTTGTAGAAAAAAATAAAAAATAAAAACAGATGTCGTGCCGCGTGGCAACATGAGAACCACGAAAAGAATGAGCATTTGAGAGAAACTAAATATCAGGAGAGAGTGAGTTTGGTTAGCAGTGGTAGCAGAAGACGAAAGGAGAATCATATTCACCTAACATTCACATCAATCTTTGGTGATTCCAGAAATGTCCACCACCATACCCTCCTCACACCAGACCTTCCTCACCAACGCCCTCACTCCATTATTAACCCACAACCGGAAGTTCAGGACAAGGTCTGTTTCTATCCCTTCACTCAAAACTACTGTCTGCTGCACTTCCCCACAACATGACCAACAGCACCAACCTCCAAGGTAACTATCAATCTTTATCTGCTCCCTATTTCATGTATTCTTTCATGTTGGAATTTGACTGAATTGGCAAACAATGAATGAATTTGATAACTTTTATTGTATTGTGTTAACAGCAAAAAGAATGAGAACAAGTTGGCAAAGTTAGCACTGGTTGCAGTGGCCGCTGGGGTGTTAACATTTGGGTCAGTTCAGGAGGCATCAGCCGCCAAGACTGGTGGTAGAATTGGTGGCCAGGCCTTCAAGTCAGCAGCTCCACGCTCCTCACCAAGAATCAACAATTCCAGGTATGGACTAAGAGATCAATGCTCATTTTCATTGTTGTTGTTGTTGTTGTGTAAATGAACTTAATTTGGTTGTGCTAGCTTTATCTTTTCACCATGTTTTAGTTTATCATATTCCTATAATTGTAACCGAGGTTGACGTTGTTAATCATCCTTCAAGCTCACAGGGTGGTTTGCTTGATTAGTAATGTTTGAGATGTGTTGCCTTCTGATAAATATATCTTCCGCGCAAAGTTGTTAAGTTTACAAAGCGTTTTCTGTGAACAACAAAATGGAACAACTTTTTGGTGGTGTTATCTTTGATTATTTTTGGTTTGTATTTTTAAGATGTATTAGTGTGTACAAATATGATTAAAAAAAAGTGCATGAGATACAGATAATTATGCATGATATCATGTTCTATTAATATTTGATGTTTAAATTATGGAACTGTACTGGTTCCCCCCTTTTGCCGGGCACAGTGTATGTACAAATAGTAGAGGTAAGGAACTAAGAATATGTTTGGATAAACTTCTTTGCAAGTATTTATATAAAAAAAGAAGCAATAAAGTTACATGAATCAAGCTTTCCTTAAGTTAGAATCAACTTCTGCACTTTATTTTTACAGAACTTCTCCTAAAGATAATAATTTTATTTTAATTTATGGGTGAAGCCCAATTATACATTTTATTATTTTCTTTTCTTTTTTTATAATATTGACAGAAAGTTCATCTAAACAAGACCTAGTTTGATGATGTAATGCCTAGGTCTTGATTGGACAACATTTTTCTATGGAAAATTTCTTCTCTCTCTTTGCATACAATGTGTTTTACCCCGGAAATTCTAGCAGAAATTCATTTGAAGACTCCAACATACAAATACAAAACAGTTCAGTGTTGTACTGAAAGTAGATAGAATCTATTTTATTTAACTATAGTTGCTATATGATATTCATACCCTGGAGTATCACAAGAGATCAAATTGAAAGAGAAGAAATATATATATTTTTTAATTATTATTATTATTGTTGTCAGGTAATTCCATATTTTATGACTATATGAACATATGAGATTTCACCTGACTTAACTTAGCAATCTTGTTTCTGAAATTTATACCAATTGACAGGACCAATATCTATGTAAATCCTGGAGTGGCACCTCCACTTGTTGGTGGTTATGGCTATGGTTATGGTGTGCCATTCTATGGTGGCTGGGGATGGTCTCCATTTTCATTCTTTGCACCAGGTCCCAGCGTAGCTGTAGGCGTTGGAGGTGGATTTGACACTCTTCTTCTGTTTATGTTTCTTGGTGCTGCTGCTGCAGTTGTGAGGAAATTCTTTGGGTCAAGAAATGAAGATGATGATGACTACTAGCAGTATAAAATGGATTTTAAAGAGTGTCATATTGAGTCGATGTATAGAAGAATGGCAGAGTGACCAATTCATTAGTTTGATGTATTTTGAGATATTATACTCGAAAGCGAAGCAGTATTGTGCTTTCTAATGGTTTGGTTTACATGCTTGTTACACAGGTGCATGAAGCAATATAGATAGATACATTATACTCCTCCAGGGAAAGTTTTCATTTTCACTGATTTGAAAAGGATCAAGAAAACATGTAGAGGTTTTACCAATTCAAATTCACTTCCTTTTTAACTTGATGATGGTTTCAGACACTCAAATTGAAGGTAAGCCATGTCTTTAATTTTTTTTTTTTTTGGAAAAGTTAAATGATTTTAATTTATACATGAGCTAATTTAGCCATTGAGTACTTGTAGATTTCAGCAAAAACATGTAAAAATTGTGTTAATGTCATTTAGATCTATAATTCTGTTAAGTATTCGAAACAAAACTTCATCATTTACGTCAATTCTATTCGGCGACTCATGATAACGCAAACGAGGGCTTTTTAAACGTTGAGGCATTGGTCTAAGAAGTTCAGCTTCCATGGTATTGGGCTCACATGACAACTTTTTTGGGCCATTTTCTTGGACTAACTTTACTCTCACTTTTATGATTGTTAATACAAACCATGTTTGCAGTAGGAGCAAAAAAACATTGGTAACTTCCACCTTATATACAAATATTTTGCTTATGAAAAATATACAAATAATTTAACCCTGTTCTTACTTGATTATAGTAATAATACTTAATTGTTGGATAAAATTAAATATGATTTGAATAAAAAGTTATTGAACGAAGTGACTCTAGCCAGAAATTCTCTTGAAATTTGAAATAACGTGACATTAATTCTATGTACGATTAATTTAACCCTACGTACGAAGTGGTTTCCATGGTAAGTACTTGTTTATTTAACGAGTAGAGTTGAGAATGAAGGAGGAAGAGTTAGGCGTGGGTGGGGTGCACTTGGGTTTGCTACAATAACTCACTCATTACATCAACGATACTTATCAAATAAACAGTGCATGCATTCCCTCCACTCTTCATTACACTTTCTCATCCCTTTCACTCACACTATATATATATATATATATATATATATATATATATATATATATATATATATATATATATATATATATATATATAATTTTTTTTTAAGTAAATTATCTAGACAATAAGTTATATCATAAAATAAATTTTTTATTTTTTTTATCTAAATGTGTACACCGGATAATAAGGAAGAAGACTTCTTACACATCTTTTTGACCCACAAAAACCAATCTTACCAAATGCGAAAATAAAATAAAAAATCCCGATTAAAGAATATATATCAGTAGTGTAAAAAGATTGTACACTATTGTTTAATTATTCGTCATTTTAACATAATTTTATTGAATTTCTAACAATCATTTTTAAATTGTATCAATAGTATTTTTTTTAATTTAACTCTTTTAAATTGAGCAAGCTATTCATCTTTTCCTGTTTCTATTAAAAAAGGTAAATACAAATCAGTTGTACAAAAACTTAACTCCAGATTAGAAGTGTGCTTTTATTTTTATTTTGTAAGACTCAACTCGTACTGTTTCTTTGAGAAAGTAGCATAATAATTTTGGCAGCAATGATTTAAGGGATTAAAATAGGAACAAAAGATGAGAAAAATAATAATAAAATATAAAGATTAGAATAACGTGGAAAAGAAGAGAAGATATTATTACTAATATAAAGATAATAATGAAGAGAGGGTCCAAAGAAGAGAAGAGATCAGGCTTCAAACTAAAAATGGGAAGATTCCTTTTGATCTTTAAATATCAATTTCGTGTTTTATTTGTATCATATTCGTGGTGAAGTCACACATAAACACACACATTACGATGCTCTCAATATGATGCATTGAATGTGGCAATCGAATTGGATGCACTCTTTATTTGATGTATTAGTTTAGAGTTTGTTAATAAGTAATAAGTATAATATTTTCATCTATATATTCATTAGAAATTACAATACAAATAGCTTAAATTTTATTTAGTCATTAAAATTATAAAACTATTTTTAATCTTTACTAATATTCTTTAATTATTACTTGCCATTTTCACTAATGTTAAATATTTAAGGGTAATATATTTCCTTTCATACAATAATTATGAAAATATTTATATTTGATATAATTAAAATATTTTCTTTAATTTTCATCCAATATTAATTATTTCATTAAATTTTTAATTATTATTGTTAAAAAGAAAATTAGTTTTATGAGTTGATGTGTTAATGTGTATATTAATGTGCATGATTTTAATAGTAGAAAAATTTGATTTCAATTAATACCACCGTTTTTCCTCTATTGCTTTCAGAAATATGTTAATAAGTTATTTTCATATACTTAATCCGATTCAATTCAACTGAGTTAAGTTTTATTTATGATTGGGGACTTAATATAGTCTAGCACAATCTCTTATGAGTTGAGTAACAAATTTTGTATTTTAAACCTACAATCAAATCTAATCCACAAAATCAAAATTATTAAATAAATTTAATAATAATAATAATATATTTATTGTTATATTAAATAAATAAATATTTTTAAAATATTAAATTATTAAACTAATCAATTATTAAATAATTTAGTCTATTTAAAAAATATATTTTAAAACTAAAAAATTAATAAAAAATTATTTTTTTAAGATTTATGATCAATTATCCAGTCATAAAAAAATTGGTTGGATTAAATTGAGTTAAATAAAAAAAATATAAAAAACTCACTTAATCCAATCCAACCCAACCCAAGATTTTTTAATTGGATTGGATGCCAAATTTAAGTAAAATCAACTCATCATAAACCAAGATTTTTTAATTGGATTGGATACTAAGTTTAAGTAAAATCAACTCATCATGTCTAAATCCTTAGATGATACTTAAATTTACATTCACTAATAAATAAATGTGACATAAAATAACTATTTTTCCTAAATTATCTTTCTTCTTTTATAAATCATAATACATTATACATTACAATTTTTTTCTCTTTTTAATAATAAAAAAAAAGTTATAAAATGGAAATCTTGTTATATACAACTAAGTATAAACATACATGTGTCCATATTTCTTTATATTATTAATTTATTTTAAAAAATTATTTATTTTATTTTCTCCATTTTGTAGATGTACACAAATTTTTTTTTCACTCATTATATCGTATCATATATTTTTTCTCTCATTTTCTACTGATGTTTTAATATATAAATCACAATATATTATATATAGGATATTGTTTTTACTCCGAGATGACAAAAAAAAAACGATGATAAAAAATAGTTATAAAAAGAAAATCGTTTATAAATATAGATTATAAATGTAGTTAGAGGATTTTTACTGAATTGGAAAAGGAAAAGGAAAAGGAAAAGAAATTAGTGAAGTATAAATTAAAAATATAACATTTGTAAATACACCTTTTAATTTAGTTTTTAATAACAACTTTTATTTATTGTTTTCTAACTTCTATAAAATTAGTATAAAAATGTTTTGAATTTTTTAGAGTGAAGTCCAGCAAATTTTTTAATATTATAATTAAGTGAAAAATAATATAAATAACATTTTGAGATTAAAATATTTCTAGAAATGCTAATTTGTAAATAAGTGAGAATGAACTTTCTCATCACTTTTATAAGCAGAATAGAACTTTCCATTTGAGTGAAATTAAAACTACTTAAACCTAATTGTGTTTTGTATCTTTTATATAATAATATTGTTAAAGTTAATTATTTGTTTTGGAGTTCCCGTACATCATGATTTTATCCTTAAAAGATGTCTCGTAGGTTGAAAGATGAGGTATAAACTTCTATTAACCTTAACTCTTAAGCGGACTCTTGAGTGTACCGAAATATAAGCTTCTTAATTGAGAACTAAGGAGTATATGTATAAGTGAAACAAAACTCTACTCTCGGTCCCACGGTGGGTGTTAATATTTTGTCTAAGAATAAGAGTGTCTTGATCTCATGTCCAATATGATAACATTGTTAGGGATAATTTTCATGTATCGAGATATTGTCCGCTTTGGAGTACTTGTTCGTCATGGTTTTGTCCTTAAAAGACACCTTGATGGATTAAGAATAGAGATGACAAAACGAGCGAACCCGCTCTGTTTTGGCCCGCAAAAAATGAGATTGGGTGGACTGATCTGCCATAGCAAAGATGAACCACAGACCCTAACTTGCGACTGCCAAAGGATGGGCGGGTAGGCTAGCTGGCCGACTCGCCAATAATTTTTTTATATAAAATTTTTTATATGTATTTTTTAAAATATATTTTTAATTATATGAATAATTTTAAATTTTTTATTTATTAATTAATAATTTTATTAGATAAATTAAAAATATATTTATATGTCAAAATAACTAATTATAATCAATAATTTAAATTTAATCAATTAATTTTTATAATTTATAATATATTTACATAATTTAATAACATAACAAAATATAATAATTTTAATTATAATTCTTTTTATTTTAATATATAAATATATTTTTAAAGTGGGTCATCGACCTACAGTGAGAGTCAATATTCTGTCTAGGAATGAGAGTGTTACAACCTCGTGTCCGCTGATGGGTTGAAAGAAGATAAAATATATAAACTATTATTGATCTCGACTCCTAAACGATGTAAGATTTAAGTACATATATGATTTGTCTTTAAAAGACATCTTGATAGATTGAGAGATAGGAGGGTATATATAAATTACTCTTCGACTCCTAAACGATGTGAGATTTAAGTAAGTATGGAATAAATGGTAAGTAGACAAAATATATATTATTTAGCATGATCATATCTAAAAATTAAGATATTAGGCTAGTTTAGGTTTTATTTAGTATATTTATTATCTTAATTTTATTCTTTTAACTCAAGTTAAAATTATTATTAAAAGTTATACAAATAAGATTTTTTTTTACAATAAATTTATAATTATTGAAAATACA